TCTCTCTCCCTCTCTCTCTTTCTCTCCCTCCCTCTCTCTTATAAGTGCACTGAATAACGTGATACCATACATTTCCCTTTTAATTTCTATTTTGTAACCTTAACCTTTGCTTCTTCAACACTTTTGTATTTAATAATTGTAAAAAAAGCAAATGTTAATTAAGTAAGCGTATATATTCAATTCTTAATTATTTTAATTTCTTTAAATTTAAATTATTACATTTATTAGTAAACGATAACTTTTATTGAAATATAAGATAGATAAATTTCAGCATTTCATACTTTATCATTTCTCATTTTATAATATTTTATTATACATGTGTAATATTTAGAAGAATGACATATTTACGATAAATATATTTTGTTTTGGCATCCAAAAGAATTCAAAGAAATTTCCTATTGATAGAGTGTAAAAAAGAGATAAGTTTGATAGGCAACAAAGTAGGAGAGTTTTATTGCAAGTTTAGAGCATAGAAATGGTAAAGTATTGAGAAAGATTAAGCAAAGAAAAAAAAAACTCAATCTTTCTCTATCATACAGGATACAATATCGAATGATAAAAAATGATGGTGTAAATTTGAGGATTTTATTAATCATGAAATGAAATGTTTCTTTCTCTACTATTGTGATTGTTATATTATTTCTTTTATACATTTCATTATGATGTGATACTTGAAGAAATTATCATAACAATCCAAGGAAATATAAAACACTTATACATTTCCTAACTACGATTTTTGAACATTTTCTTATGAAAGTAAATATAGCATATAAGTAAGTATGCAATGAAAAAAAAAAGTCTAATATGCAAATGAAGGTCACAGGGAACAAATTTAATCCTGATCTTGAAATGAAGAATAAAATAATGTGATGTAAGATTTAATGATGAAACATTTGCATTCTTACCAGAAAATTATTTGAGAAATTGCTCCAATTCATCTTCACATTTATTTAACAACTTTTGGAATAGAAAAAAAAACGGATAATTTATGCTAAAAGAAACAAATGAACACTAATTTTCAAAGCTGACTGATGTGACAGACAATAAATGCATATGAACAAAATGACACAAATGACAAATTACGTAGAACACACAGTGATTGTATGGATCTGTATTATTATTAGCTTAACAGATTGTTGTACGCGGGATTTCCAAATGACAGATGAGCTTTTGCATTAATTGAGGATTAGCAAAATTGTCACTAGTTTCTTGCCGTACTTGGCAAGAAACTAGTGACAATTTTGTCAAGTACGGAAACATGAATAAGTGAAATAATTTTACTTCACAATTTACAAAATTTTGTGCTTGAAGAAGAAAAAAAATATATATATAGTTGAAGGTGTCGAAATCTTTTCTAAATCACAAACAAGAAGGAATTGAGCCTCGATATCTCCTGACCAAAACAATGACCAGAGCAACCCAAGTTAATTTCGGGAATGTTTAATCCTAGAAAATTTATTAAGCGAACAACGTGTGTAGATGAAAATGGAAATTTCTTCCTCTTGAATATTAATTTTGATATTAGGTATCTTTTAAGTTGTGTGAAGACCTGAATATTAGGACTGCAAACTTCAGTGAATTATTCAAATCCGGAAACTCATTATGCTCAGGCTATCATATCATACCGGACCGTTATTGATTTAATAGAAAATGATTTTTCGAAGCATAATGAATTTTGGTTCATCCTGGTTCACCGAATTACGTAGCTCACTTTGGATGAGACGAATGTAGCGAAGATGAAAGGAATCAGTTAAAATTGATTGATTCATCAGATGAAAATGAAAATACATCAATATGATCAAAATCAAATCTTACTAATAAGTTTCAATAATCAGTTTATTAAATGATTGGTTATCCAACAACTGATGAACAAAGGGAAAATCTTGATAATCATAATGGTCAAGCCATTAAACATTGTTATTTGTCCATCGGTAAAAATGATAAGTAAAATCAACTGACCAATCGTGATGATCAAAATTTAGCTCCGAATATCATTCCTAGGTATTATGGATACAGATAATATCGTAACAAATTAAATTTTCTCATCAATATGCCGATACAGACAGTCAAGAATCATGAATTGATTTTAACTTAAATTACTGTAAATCGTTATTAGATCCAAACCGTCCATTAATTTGATTGGTGAATTGGGAAAAGCTGATGTTTAAAATCGATAATTCCAAATAATCCAGTTAGATATGAATACAATTGAACATTTTACAGTGATTTATATAATTTACTGATTAGATTTAACAATTAATTTTAATGAATTTAATAATTGGCTTCTTTGCCTCTTTTCACACTTTATTTATTTGTAGGAAAACCGATCAAAAATATTGCAAAATATGTGTAATTCTTATCAAATGCTCATGAAAAAAGAGGGAATTATTAAATCATTTTACGTGATATTTCATGAATTATAAAACATTCGGCTCGATGGAAATAGAAAA